CATTTACTCATGTTCATTATTTATTCAACCAAACAGCTTCCGGAATATTTTTTTTATCCATAGTATGGAAGTCAACTGTTTGTTTACCAAATGTCTTCAAAATATCTTCTTTTGTATTCAGCGGAAGAAGGAAATTCATACAGGTTTGGAACAACCTGAGGGTGAGTACATGATGACAGAATTTTCATTTTTGGGTGCACTGCCCCTTTAAGTCTTTAAGAAGAACAAAGAACAGATGATTTCACTCAAGTCATAGCGTGCCTCACATCATGACTCTCTCCGCTGCTGAGAAAGGTGCTGGATGGGTTGGAGGAGTGGTTCAGCCCTAAACGTTTCCTTGCCATTCGTGGAGTGCTGCTGATAAAGCTGGATCTCACCTTCAAAGAATATACAGTTTAACTAGGAAGTCTGTGATGGATAAGGAAGTTAAAATGAACAAAAAGACATACTGTACACATGCAAGATATCTGCAGTCTGCACTACTAGTGAGAGAAGTTTGAGGACATATGTTTAAATACCTGTCCACTGATGCCGAGCATGACTTTGGCTCTCTTGCCTCTGTGTGGCTTCAGCGAGAAGCTCAGGAGTCCAAACTCCTTGCCAGATCAGACACCTTCACAGAAAGAGTTTACCAGACAAAGCTTAAATGAAATATAGGGAATATCGGAGTCTATTTTATAAATATGGGGTTGACTTAATTTGACAGTTACAATGATGGTGATTTGTTAGTTAATCACGACAACTATACATTGTCTTGGCTTTCTGGAACTGTTTAAGTGCCATTTGATACAGCTGCAAATTGCTATCTTATCTTAGTATTATTTATGCACTATTATAGTACTTAATATTTTGTATTAGCTTTTATTTTTATAATTAGATTTCATTTTAATTTCAGTTTACGTTTTAGTTATTTGTTACATGATTTTGTCAAATTAGTTTTTTGGTCCCACTTTATATTAAGTGGCCTTAACTACTATGTACTTACATCAAAAATTAAGTACAATGTACTTATTGTGTTCATATTGTATTGCAAAACACTTTTGCTGCTATTGAGGTGGGATACGGGTAAGGTTAGGGACAGGTTTGTTGGTATGGGTAGGTTTAAGGGTGGGTTAAGGTGTAAGGGATGGGTCAACTGTGTAATTATAAATGTAATTACAGAAATTAATTACAGATGTAATTACATGCAGGTATTTTTCAAATATAAGTACAATGTAAAAACATGTATGTACACAATAAGTGCATTGTACCAAATTATTAATTTAAATGTAAGTACATAGTTGTTAAGGTCACTTAATATAAAGTGGGACCAGTTTTTTTATATTTCTATATTACTTATACTTATTTTAGTTAGTTGCCAAGGCATTTCAAATTTTCTTTCTTTTTTTTTTTTTTAAGTTTAGGTTTTTCATTTGATATTTATATTATTTTAATTAATTTTATTACTGTAAACAACTGTAATAATTTTAGTTGATTGCCAATCTAGATGAATTTAGACCACTTGATTTACTGCAGGGCAGTGCTATAATCATAATATTCATTGCACTTGCCTGGAGTGAGGTGAACGAGTCCCGATGACCTGTGATTTGACCTCTGGACCCCGCAGAACCTCCAAAGATCTCTGTATCACTGGAGAAGGACGACCATTCCCCTAAACCAAACACTATCAGCTGCTTCGGTAAAGGTAACGGCATCTGAACCTGGTACACCGTACGGTTGACATTTCTAAATAAGGTAAATTAGAAAAAAAAAAAAAGGTGGTCAGGAAGTGGTCACCAGGGCTAGATCTACAGCTGTACTATTTGAAACGTGTAAATGAGGATGCACTAAACACACATGCCCACGTCATATAATTACAGTTGGCAATTTTTTACAGTCTATGGTCAAAACAGTGGTTTGATATGTTTGTTCATTTTTGCAGAAATCTATTATTAGTGTATACTACATTTTAGATAAAGACATGCTGTTTGGACCCTTTTTAACATTAGATAAGATTTCACATCTTAAAAAATAAAAAATAAAAACATTCTCCTCAAATCGATGTCATTAATCAACATGTTTTTCCTGGGCAATAATGATGGAAATGCTCAGCAACTTCCGTAGCCAAGACATTTCTACCCTGAGAAATACTCACTCCTGTAAAAGTGTGACCAAAAACAAACAATATCAGGTCATCTACTGAAGTTACTTAAATGAAAGCGCCCACCGTATAAACTGACGAGGTGCTTCACGTAAGGACCAGATGGCATAAAAGTGCACTTTGCCCATGCTGTTGATTGAGAATCGATCAAACTCCTCCAGCGCTGGCGGCGGTGTGCGGCCTGCAAAAGCGCAGCCAATCCCGCGCGGCCGCTGGCGCATTTATCAGCTCCTGTGTGTCACACGCTCCGCCACGACCAATTAACATCCCATAATGACAACCCTGGAAGCATCCAATATGAACAAGCATATATTGATAGATATAAAAAAAGAAGAAGAGGGAGAAAAAATAACCCCATGACCCCATGGTAATTGTAATTCAAAGTTGAGTATCACAAAATGTAATCCTGAATTTATTTATTTGTTAATAATTGTTTAATCTATTCATAGCAATTAGACATTAAACTAAAAATAATTTAAATGAAAAAAAAAAAAAACATGTATACTATTTTATAGGACTGATCATCAATACTAAATGGTTAGAAATGTAAAATTTTTAAATATATTCTCCATTTCTGGCTGACCATTTTGTTAATAAAGTAGCCTAACATATGATCATTACATTTGTGCTTTTATAATTGATTAAACTCATAGTATACAAAGCGGATTATAATATTAATATTTCATATGTATCAATCATAATCAAACATCCTATTTTCAAATAAATAAGCCTATATATGTACACAATGAATAACGTGGTCTTTTTTTCAGTCTAACAGCGCCCTCTATCGAAAATAAGAAACAATAACTCTTCTAATTCTTCTGTTACCCAATACATTGACCTCAGTTTAAAGGGAAATGGTGCTTGTGATCATCCAATGAAAACCAGTTTTTAATGCTGAGAAAGCACTTTTTATGGTTATTCTCAGAAGGAAGTGCAGACGCATTTTAATGGAAGGAAGGAACCATAAAGCTGGATATAAAACAGGCAGCAAATGCACACTGAGTTCATTGTCAATGTTTATTGTGTACAACAAACAGCAAAAGAAAAAACAAACGAAAAACAAGAAAAGGATGACAAACATATATCAAATGCATTTCATACAAACAAGATACTGAGGAGGAGGACAAGCCGAAAAACACATTAGCAGAATGGTGTACCTCAGCAGCACAATGCAACAGTCTCTTAAGACATGCAAATAATTAAGGTACGGAAAGAAACTCACATGGTGCACATTCACAGCGCGATTTGGTATTCATATAATCAAGAAGAGTATTTGAAGGAAACAAAATACTATACTACAACCCCCGCTGGCAGCACTTAGTGTGGCATATTGCACGTGACATAAGCAAAACAAATCGTAAAACCTTTGCTATAGGTAGTTTTGTAAGTTAACTTGGTAAAGAGGCATCAGCCAAGAACATAAATGTCAATAAAACCTCTTCAATAGGCCATCTGCATTACATCGACACAGACCGAACTGATGCCAAACAACCATAAATCATGCCAAACGAGAGCCTGGGACATTCAAATATTGAATCAGTTATGCAACAAATTAGCTTTTGTGGCAGGAAATGGTTTAAAGTTGTAAACAAGCTGGCTTTGACCATTTCCACGAGTAGTAGTTACCCTGGTGACTGAAGTGACAGCCATCTCAGTACAGTATACAACCGCCATAAGAACATATTTAAAACACATCTTAGCTAGCTGTGGCTTCCAGTGTCTTTGTGCCTGAGCAAACAAACCCAGTATTAGCAGTATGTTAGAAATAGTGTGTGAGACCTCAGAGGCCATTCCATGCGCTGCTCAATGTAGTATTATACAACAACAAAAAAGAACCAACCAAACAGAAAACACTCATATATCATTACCTGAATCAACAGTGGCTTCTGCCACATCACCTACATTGACTTCCTTGCTTTCCTTTTTTTGCTTTTGAAATGTGTAGAACTGTTTGACCTGGTTGACCACCCATATACTTTCCCTGATTACTCTGTAGTCCCTGATATGCGATGCCACAGTTCTGTTGTGGTGTCAGACAATACACTTATAAAACATGGACCTTTTATATGAAATATATCATCTTGCACATAACATCTTAAGCCACATAAAACACATTGCACATATCATGAGCCTCATGATTCCATTCACTTAAAAAAGCATTTTGTATATATACAGGTGCATCTCAATAAATTAGAATGTCGTGGAAAAGTTCATTTATTTCAGTAATTCAACTCAAATTGTGAAACTCGTGTATTAAATAAATTCAATGCACACAGACTGAAGTAGTTTAAGTCTTTGGTTCTTTTAATTGTGATGATTTTGGCTCACATTTAACAAAAACCCACCAACTCACTATCTTAGTGCTTCTCATTAAAGTGATATGATGAATCCATCCATCCATCCATAGCACTTATTTATAACATTTTCTGTAACAATGTAAAATTCTTTACTGTGACTTTTGATCAATGCATCCTTGTTGTTGTTTTTTTATATACATTTTCAATTAAAGAATTTTAAAAATCTGACTCTAAACTTTTGAAAAATAGTGTATATAATTTATAAATATATACAATTTTCTCATATAATAATAATAATAATAATATCAAATAATGAGTCTTTTTATTTACGGTAATGAAAATTGGAGAGAGGATGGTGATGTGGCATTATAATTGTCACACTGCAAAAACATCCTAAAAGATCTTAAAATAGGCTTTTTCTTCATTGAAAATGTAACATTTTAATTTCATTATTTGGATTTGAGGTCAAATATGACCTGGACAAAATCTTGACTGGTTTCTTGAGAGTCACCCAGTTTACTAACTTGTTAATTACAATTGAGGGCATCTGTGTGGAACTCCTACCAGATCGTCTGAACAAAAGCAGGGAACAGGACAGGAAGTACTCCCTCACCTTCCAGGTCATCTTCTTCATCCTCATCGTCACTGGATTCACTAATGTGGACAGTAATGGCTCGGCTAGTGACTGGTGACCAGTCGAAGTAAACCCCAAAACCAATGTCATAGCCATCTGTGGCAAACTCCCAGCACACGTGCTTGGCCTCAGGAACAGTGGGCACGTGGACGGTCATTATGTCTCCACGATATACCGTCACCACGCTGTCCTTCTCTTGACACAGCTTCGTCTTCAGCTCCTTCAGAGCCACGGAGGTCCATGTGGATGCTGGTTTCATCGGAGGAAGAGCTGCAAAGAGATAAGTGACTGCTAGATTGATATTCTTTTAGTTTTCTCTAAAGTTTTTCATGCCTGTAACTCAAGAAGTATTAAAGATATCTTAATGACCTTTTAGATGTTGGATCTTAGCAAACTTTCCTTTGTCATTTTTACCCCCCCTCTACAAAATAGTGGATTACTCCGTAAATATACATTGATGACATTTAATATTTTGGCTTTGTTCTTTATTGAAGTATTTCTTTCACCAGAATTTTTTATTTTAACAAAATCAAAAATTTGAGCTGGGGAGCTCTGGTTAAGTTGACACAGAATGACCCAATAGTAATGCAATGTAAGTCACTTTAGATTACGCGTCTTCTGCCAAATGTATAATAATAATAATACTAATTATTATTGCATTTGGCAGACTTTTTTTATCCAAAGCCACATACATTGCATTCAAGGTATACATTTTATTGGTTCATGCATTCCCTGGGAATCGACCCCCATGACCTTGGTGTTGCTATTATTATTATTATTAATAATAATAAATACATACTCTTTCACAAAAAAAATAAGTTAATTAGCAAAACTTTAGCTTATTGGTGATATGCGAACCTGGCACACTAATAATGAAATAAACTGATAAGCAGTCATGAGTTTGTATGGTACACCAATAACTTTTACAGCACCTTTCATTGTGCTTTATGCAATCAGAGCCTAAATATCTGCTATATAAAACAACTTTTGAACGGCATACTACAGAACTTGGCCTATATAATGTACACTGCATGCTATTTTTGAAAGTCACGTGACCTGCCCTATAGTGACTCGAAAGAAAACGCACAGAAGCTTATTCTGCTAAAACATGTTATATATAGAAAGATTCCCATATTTTAAAGCACAAACATCCTTCTTTTATTCTGACAGCTCTGTTCTCGAGGGGCAATGATGAAAGATGATGAGAAGGTTTCCTGAGCTTAGCTTCACCTCTCTAACAGGGGGTTTGCTAACCTTTTTTCTCCCCGGGGTGTGAAGTACTGCTCTCCTGTGAGTCACCCACCTCTGCCTTCCCGAGAGATGCGCTGGGCTCCTATTGACAACATCACAATACATACACAGAAGCACAGCACTACAGCACACTTATTCACATGTATCTGACAGGCTTGAATTCACTGTACCTCAGTAGATTGAGTAGATTCGCTGTTAACGTCCATTTTAGTTTGGGTGTCCGGTTGGATTACTGTCCGGGAAAGGTCTGTGCTTTGAAGTCTTCAAAATGAAAATGGGAAGGATGAGGTTTCCATACCTTTGAAATCTAAAATAACCATTGTTGAGCTCCGATAAACCTGCACACACCTGTTTAAAGGGTTTGCTTCACAGTTTTTCGACGTTATACCAGGGAAAGAAGAAACAGACAGGGATGACAGTCTGGACTGAAGCTCTGATGTCTCTAGTTTCTCCATCTCTAGAGCAGCAAACACATGAAATATATAAACCATCATCACATTCATCACTATCTAATCAGAGATTCAGTAAAGATTCAGTTCAGCAGCTGAAAACTCTTACCTGAATCAGAGGTGTCTTTCAATGAACCTCATTAAAAACTGAAAAAATTCTGCAAGAAGACATAAAACAATGCATACGGTCTTCTAATAATAAATATAAATAAGGCTGTTGGACTAAATTTTGTGCGCAGTCGTCATCAACTGACTCGTGAAGCTCATACGAATCAGTTTTTGACACGTCGAGTAACTAAAGTGAAATTCACCATCAATCTCAGCAGAGCACAAAACACATCTGCATTCAAACCAAACCCGCCGTATGTATTAAACCCACACGTACTGTATTGTTTGATAATTGAATGTACATACACGTACCTGCGGCGGCCGTGTGATGCTGTAGATGCAACAGTGTTGCCTGACAAATAACGTTTGACGCCCAGGAAGTCCGCTAATTTGTAAATACGTGTTCTGATTCTGGAGAGTAAAGTCTTTTCTGAATGGCTGCCAGACACATACGACTACATAATAAAAGTCCCGAGAAATAAGACCACTCAAAAGCAGTTTGGGAAGAAGCTATTTCTGTTTTAAGAAAGGTATTTCGTTTAAAAGAATATATATATATATATTAGTGCTGTCCAATTATTAATCGCGGTTAATTGCATACAAAATAAAAGTTTTTGTTTACATAATATATGTTTACTGTATATTTATTGTATATATTGTGTACTGTGTATATTTATTATGTATATATAAAAGCACACACATACAGTATATATTTGGAAAACATTTACATGTATTTATATTCATATAATTTATATTATATATAAATATATTTAATATATAAACATTACATATTTTTCTTAAATTTATACATGTATGTGTTTGTATTTATATATACATAATAAATATACACAGTACGCACA